GATGCTGATATAGTAACAAGAAGTTATTTTGCTGTAACAGCAGAGATGTGACAAGAGCCAATGGAAGAGTTGGAAAGAGAATGGGGCCTTCCCTGTGCTCTAACCAGTTTACCCCACCCCCACCTCCTCCACCCCCACCCCCTCCTCTGCCCAAGACCCCGAGGGGTGGGAAGAGGAAACATAAACCCCAGCCTCCTGCTCAGCCCCTGCAGCAGCCACCCGCCCAGCAGCCACTTCCCCAGGAAGAGGAGGTGAAGGTCAAAAGGCTGAGGAAGTCCCGAGCAAGTGAGAGTGAAGTCCTTCCATAGGGCGCATCTGGGCGGACGAACCTGGGGCAGAAGGGACTGACACATCGCAGTGCAGCGAGCTGGGCTGAGGGCAGATTCCCCACGGCAGGGACACCAAGGTCCACCTCTCCTGAAGCTGGGCAGGCAGAATCAATCGGTCCAGATAACGGGCTGAGCCATCGGGAGCTCATGGGAAAGCAAAGGAGGAGGACACCTTCCAAAGAAGCTTGTCTGTGCTTTCCAGCGGTTCCCAACAGAGCAGCTCTGCAGTCCTGCTGAGGCGCTTTGCAGGCGAGTGGAAGACCCACCCAGGAGAGCGCCAATGGTCCCGCCACCGCCACCTGAGCGGCAGCATCCAAGGTGCGCATGTGACCCCACTTCATTGGCTGGCCAGGAAACCCCTAAAGGGAGAGGCACTCCATCAAGAAACATTCCAAGGGGAGAAGAGGTGCAAATTCCCCCACTGGCTTTGTGGTCACCCACTTCCACGTCATGGCTTTTTATTTCATTTGGTTTCATATCTCTGCTAGGCATTGGGACACCTATGTCCTCTACCAGTGACTGGGATCTTTATGTCAACAGTATAGTCTCTTAGGCAGGATTACATCACCGGGAGATGGAATGCCAGTGACCAACATCCATACCCCTGCGTCCACATCCGTCTGTGTGATTCTTCTACCGCGCATACACCAGTCCTCAACATCGCCCTTCCCTTCGCTCATTGTACTGCCACCTCCCTTTTCATTAACTTACCTGCTGCCTTCCTTTTCATGGTCCACGTCTGCCTGAGGGACACCTGCCCTTCCTGCCTGTGTTGGAAAGTGCCCCCTTGGTGCTCTGGTCCAAGGTCCCTGGCTTTGAATCTTGACCAGGGGGCAAGAGATGCTCAATATTGGGAGAAGCTTTTTAGAAAGTGATCAGAGCAGCTGGGGACCTTGTTGACCCAGGTGATATTTATACTTCAGGCCTATCAGCCGAGAGCAGGGAAGGTTTTCATATCCCACAGTAAATGGAATAACTGACAAATCACCAAAAACTGAAACCCCAGACCCGCCAGGATGGCAAGTGTCCATCATTGCCTTGGTATATGATTTTTTAAAAAATACTAGTAACTCTTGGAGATCATTGATAAAAGGAAACAAAAGGACAACAGAAGTCCATTCTATCTTAATCATTCTTTCTTAAAAGCAAATGGGAGTAAGTGTTCTTAACTTAAAAAAAATACAAGTAGGAAAATTCTCAAAGGGTATCACCACTCCAATTTTGTCAAGCCACCTTGGACAGAGACTCCAAACTGTGGTTGCCTTAATAAACGAAAACATTTTTGTACATAATGTAATTATAAGTCTATCAGTCTGCATGGATGCAAACTGTGTGTGACAAATCATCTTTTAAATGGTCAATTTCAACTGTATATTTCTCATCCAAGTTGGACTCTAGCCATTGGTTTAGCGTGGACAGATATTCAATCTCCTTGATCCATTGTCACAGCCCAAGTTGTTTTTTAAGATTATTACCAAGATTCAAAATGAATATGAAGTTATTCCATTGCCATAGATGTTTCTTCCCACCACCCAAAAGTCAGATGTGGAAATTTCAAATAAGCATTTTCAGTTTCCTCCTTCACTGTCCTCCCCTTACCTCCCCCAAGACATCAGACAGCTGGCATAGGCGAGTATAAAAAGAGAAACACTGAGAGAGAGAAATACATTTTCTAATGGGAATTAGAATATCAGGTTTATCTCCAAATTAAGTTTCTTAAGAGGAAGTTGGGACTGGCTGGAAATGGTATTATCACTTCAGAACACAACATTATTTCCTTGTAGAGAGATGGCTTTTTGTATAGGAATGTAGAGAAGGAGGGATGAGGTATCCGTGGGACTAATTTTTTTAAAGCCCAGTTAATATGCTTGCTAACATCGCTGTCCTATCCCAGCCCCAAAGGAGGGTTCAAATTACCAGAGTCATCCTGCTCGGACTTGTCCCCATAGACATGCCACCACCGTCTGCTGCCTACTAGGTCAGTCACACCTCATCGCAGCAATATGTGCGTGGAAAGGCCTGCATCCTCCAGGACACTAAAGCTTCTATCCTAGAGGCTCTGTTTCTGACCTGGAGTGACCTTGCCCATTTCACACAAGTTGAACAGCAAATTCAAAGTGGCCACTTTCCATTTGTCATTCCCAAGCCGTGTTGGAACGTCTCCTAAATCACCCTAGGAAGGCTTCACTCAATCCCTGCTCACCCCACCACTGCTGTGAACGAGCGCCCAGTTCACTCCAGTTAAGGCAGATAGCAGGTTCTCTGGCTGTGGGAGGTTGATACTCAGGCATCTTCCTTGCATCCTGCTTTTTTCCCTGGTCATACTGTCACCTCCCAGCAAGGCTGGGAGCAGGGAACGCATCCTGCCCAGCACAGTGCTCTCGCTCAGGTCTGCCAAGCTTCCTAAACAGGGAAGCAAAGTTTTATTGGCATGAACCTCTAATAGGTGAGAAATTCCAAATACCTTCGGGATGATTTCCCTTATTCTCACTGCCTTTGAATCGATTCTGACTCACAGCAGCCCTTTAGGACAGGATAGAACTGCCCTCTGTGTTTCCAAGGCTGTAACTGTTTGCGGGACTAGAAAGTCCCCTCTTTCTCCCCCAGAGTTGCAGTAAGTTTCAAACTGCTGACCTTGTGGTTAGCAGCCCCAACATGTAACCCAAACCACTGAAAGATGCCAGGAGAAATACAGCCACCTCAAAACCTCCCCATCAGCCTGGTGGAAGGTTTCCATGTAATTCAATGCATTCATGCATGTATGGATAGATTTGAAAGCCGTGGTGTTCTCACCAGCCACCTGGAGGTGGGAATGCATCTGTCTTGCACGGCTTCCACTCTGATGCCCAGGCTCCTCCTCTATGTTCACATTATCTTTGGTTTCTTTCACCTGTGCTCTCCCTCACCTAGACTCCTCTCATAGATACAACCCTTACTGCCCAACTGCCCCTCTCCCATTAGGTGAGAACATTTAGGATACACAAGACTCCCTACAGAGCTTTACACAATATTTCTTAACAAGAGGAACCCCTTGCTTTCTTGCTTAGTTTTCCCATGAGGACTCGGCTTCAGCAAGCAGCATACGTGCTCCCAGTTAAACTGGAGGGTCCTGAACAAGGGTGAGAAATGGGCAACAGCTAGATAGAAAACGCTCCCCAAAGGTGATGGCCTTGAGACATGCCTGACTGAGGGCCTGAGAGACCACTTGCTTTTCTCTCTCTGACATCAAAGGTTTGACTCCCTCTAACGGGCCAGCTCTGGTCTCTACCCTAGGAGGAAAGGCGGAGGGACCAGGGGCTGGTTGGAGATTAGCGGAACTGGGACTCAGCGTCCAACTGACAGCCCAGAGAAGGTGGCTAAGGGCTGACAAGGGATTAGCATGTTAACTTGGCAGCTGTGTGGAATGGCAAGCCCTGTTCGATGACAGTCAGATTTTGTGTTCTGCACATTGCCGGGTCTATAAATATGATAAGCCCATGGCGACGGAATGATAGTACAAGGTGATATCCTACATGCAGGTCATAAAGGAGTTGGTGTGGGGGATTAGTGGAAAATCCCACCCCCTCCAGATGATTGCCCCACACTGTTCAGACAGTGAGTCTGGGGAGGACATTTTCTCTTCCTTTTTCTCTTTTTTCCTCTGACCACTAGTAGGAAGATTGACCTGGGAACTGTCTAAAGTGTGCACCTATATTTCCAAAGCCTTTCAATGCCGAATGTAGCATGGCGGGGGAAGGGCTGGTAGAAACCAAAATGCCTCATAAAAGCCATTTTAAGTGTTCCGTTGTAAGATGGTCCGACCTTCTCATGATGTGACGGTAGATAATATAGACGTCCTCCCGCCCACTACTCGCTAGTATCTCAGTGGTCCAAATGCCAGAGCGAACAGATCATGTCATCCCAGTGCCTAGACTCCAACTGTACCAGGCCGGAGCTTTTCCTCCGTCTTTCTTGCCACGATGAAGACTTCCCCTGCCTCTCGTTTCAGGTAGAGTTTGCCCTCCCGCTAAGTCGTGTGCCCCTGTTGGGCGCGGTCATTTGGGGAACAGTCTTAGAAGCACATATCAACCAAGGAAGAAACTCCCTGGCTCTCTCCTGCCCACTTGCCCAGGTCTAATAAACACTAAAGGGGGGAAACAATGAAAAAAAAAAAGAGCTGCCCACCAGTCAACAAGCGAGGGCAGTTTCACCCCAAGTGGGTGTCTTTTTTTTTTCTTTTTCTTCCTTTTTTTTTAAAAAAAAATCTATTTCTTAAATAATAATAAATGCACATGATGTGTTAAATATGTATATATATATTTCAAAAGAAGAAAAAATGGGGCACAAGATTGTCTTACAAGTCGTGCTGGCTAATTTTTAGTTTGTATTCATAAGTGGTTTTTAAAAGCCTTTTTTAAAGTGTAATTTGCATGTTCTACTTTGATTGTATGTAAACATATTTTAGAACAAAAATGTATTTGTATTTTATTGAATATAGAGGCAAGAAAATTGTACATTGTTTGAAATGTTCTTTTTGTAACAGTTTTTATTCATAAAGCATTTTTGTACATTGGAAATGGACATGGACTTGCTGTGATTTGAGGCGTAGCGACATCTGGCATGCTTTACTGTCATGCTCCTCCATGGTCTTAGATGTTGGGTTTTAAACATTCTTTTCTAAAAGAAAGCTCAGTCTTTTTCGCTACCAGATCAGGTTAGCACCATATAGAGAGAGCACTTAACTATTAAAAAAAAAAAAGTTAATCCTATTCATATGTTATTCATTGTGTGAAATTAAAGACATTCAATTCAGTCTAACATGAGTTGTGAATTCTTTTGTTTTACTTTCCATCTGGTTCACATCACGGAGGAGTTTAATAGCATTTGGGGGTCTTTGCTCACATCAACTGGGTGCAGAATCATTGAGAAAAGTCTATCCGCACTCCTCCTCTTGTATGACTGGGAAGTCGTGACATGGTGGGTAAGATCTGAGTCTACGCTCTACTGTTCCCATCTTCTGGAAGCCAAGGCAGAACCATAGAACCAGTCAGATCTTGTCTGTTAGGAACTAGACAGTATTTTAGGGTATTGGCGATCCTCCCCATCTTACATTTTTAGAAGGACATTATTGATGGGGATTTCCTGGTAAATATCCTCCTTGGCCCCCTCCCAATATGCCCGACATCTGAATAATAGGTCCCTGGCTCAACTTAAAGTTTTCTCCTGGGAAATGTTGTTGTTATTGGCTGTCATCAAGTGAGCCTCTGGCTCATGGCAGCCCCCTCCATAATGGGCTAGAGCAGTTCTGACCCGTAGTGTAGAACAGTAATGTGCCAGGTCATTTGTTCTTCCGAGCCTCGCTGGGTCTGGAAAGATCACCGAGCCCTGCTCTCCATAAAAACAACACTGACAGACAGACCCCCGACTGAAGTGCATTAGCCCAGAATCAAGCCCAGAGCTCCACAAAAACACGACTAGTGATTGATTGCCGGCCAGCCTGAGCAAGGCCTTGAGGGCACTGGCAGATCTAAGCAGAATGTGGCAGTGGTCAGAAGAATGATGGGAGGGGAGAAGGGCTAGCACGTCCCTTTCCATGCCCTGTCTTTGGGCATGCTTCTACTCAAAGCCAGCAAGAGAGGTAGTGCCTCATCCCTGAGCATCCTTCTGAGCATTTATTATGATTGCTGGTCTTTGCAGAGAGGTCCTGGTGGCTTAGTGATTATGAGTTGGGCTGTTAACCACATGGTCAGCAGTTCAAATCTACCACCCACTCCAAGGGAGAAAGACAAAGCTTTCTACTCCCATGAAGAAGAGTAGTCTTGGAAACTGGCAGGGGCAGTTCTACCCTGCCTGTGGGGATGCTATGAGTCTGAATTGATGATATTTCAGAGAGTTAGGTTTGGGTGGTGGCAGAAACCACCACAGGACAATGGGACTCTGGTTAAATGAACGGAAGCCCTGGGCAGAGCTGACTGGGGCATGATGGTTGGAGCACCCGTGCTTTATGTAGACCTCCCTGAGACTCAGAGAATCAAGTCAACAAACTCTTAAGTATGATTCATCCTCTTTTCCTCACTTCTACTATCATGGCCTGACCAGAAAACTTTAAAGTTCCATGTAGTCCTTGTTCTATCTACCTCCGGCACATCCACACGTTAGTATTTCTAAGCTCAGCAGTTACTTCTGAGAACCCCCCTAATCTCTTTGGGACAGCTCCTTACTCAGGGCAAAGCTGTTGTCTCTGAATGGCTTGGCCAGCTCTGGGGATTTTGAATCCATACAGAGAGTTCAGCAATGTGCTGACAGAGATTCTTGGTGAAATCAAAAGTGTCCACATATGTGGCTGGTAAGAATCTCAGTCCACAAATAGAAAGGTGGAAGAAATAGACATTTTAATTTTTCCCCCTGAAGCTCAATTTATTTTTAAGGCCCTATTCCACCAAAGTTGCAAGTGCTCAGTTCCAGAGCCAGGGAATCGTTTTCTAGCCTGAAGGGGAAGGAGCAAGTCCAGGGACCATAGGAAGCCTTGCCCCAACTTCATTCCAAATTGTTTCTCTGTGCCTAAGCCCTTCGTAGGTCTCTAGTCTCTAGACATTTGAAGCTGGAAAGCCAGAAAGCCATGTCTGTTGAATTTCTTCCACTCTCTCTTCTGTTTCATAAGTATTCCTGGTGGGACTCAGCCCAGCCCAGCCTGGTGGTATTGAGGAGGGATGGCTTCAAAAGAGGGAAAGCTGGAAATCAGTGGAGAAAAACAAAAACTGCACTTACTGCTCACAAGTCAATGCTGACTCGGAGGGACCCTACAAGTCATGGTGGAATTCCCCCTGTGAGTTCCTGGGACTGGAACTCTTTACGGAAGTAGAAAGCCTTATCTTTCTACTAAGGCGTAGTTGGTGGTTTCAACCCGCTGACCTTGCAGTTAGCAGCCTGTGATAGGCAGGTTTATTGTGCCAACCTAGCCAATAGGAACATGTGGGATTAATAAGGTCACAGTAGGATTGGAGGGCAAAGAGATAAATGGCTCTGCAAGGCCCACCCTGTATCCTGCTCTCTGGTGATCTGCTTCTACCCCTGAAGGCATAGATAAGTCTGCCACTGTTACTAGAGAGTATGGTATTCATGGTGTGAAGTCGTTATCTGGCCACAGGCAGCAAACAATAAGGCAGGTCACCAACATTCAGCCAGATGACAAGAGTCCGACAGTCCCCAGTATTCCAGTAACGTGGCAAAGCAGGTCTTGAAGGAACCTCAAATTACAGTGACACAATCCATGGGTTAGGTGTCCCACAGGTAGTGTAGCTTGAAAATGGAGGCACAGAACAAGCAAGGCAGCCCCACACTGGTCTGATCATCAAAGAGCAAGAGATAAGAAAGATGAGGCTCACTGAACCATTTATTTCTCCATCCTTCAATTAATCCCACAAGTGTTCATTGGCCATGTTGGCACAATAAACCTTAACTGTCTCAGCCTCCTAAAGATACAATTATGCTGCCAGCTAGAGAGGTAGTGCCTTATCCCTAAAGATACAGTTATGCTGCCAGCAACAACTTGTGGGGCTGGGGCAATGTTCTCC